TGCTGGTTTGGGTTTTGTCTAATTGATTCAATCCAGGGTCTGGGAAGAGGAACCTCAGCCAAGAAGATGCCTCCATCAGATTGTCCTGTAGGGGAGTCTGGGGACAGCTTCTTGATTAATGATAGATGTGAGAGGGCCCAGACCACCGTGGGCTGTGCCATCTATGGAAAGTGGGTTGTAGGAAAGGAAGGCAGAGCTAGCAATGATAGAAAAGCCAGTAAGCAACATTTTTCTCTAGCCCATGCTTTAATTCCAGCCTTCAGTTTCCTGTCTGGAGTTCCTGCCCTGACTTCCCTGCATGATGAAATATAAACTGTAAGATAAACTCTTACCTCCCCAATATGGTTTTGGTCATGGTGTTTATCACAGAAATAGAAAGGTAAGAAACTTGGCTCATGTGCTTTCTCCTTCTGGGCTTCTCCTTCAGCACATCATGAAGAACTGACATGCTGTGCCACAACAATGGACTACGAGCAGAGAACAACTCATCATGTCCCATTCCTCTTCTTACACTTACTAGGAATTATATTGCTCATCATGTCCCATTACTCTTCTTATACTTACTAGGAATTTTATTCCTTTCTCATGGGGGATATTCACTGTTTGTTAGTGACAGGCAGCACTTGGACTTGGAATTCAAGGCCAACTAGCATAAATCAGGAAGACTCTGTCTCAAAAATAAAATAATCTGGGGATATAATTTGGCAGGGGAATGCTTGCTTAGCACATAGAGAGTCTTATGCTCAATCCTCAATAAAAAATAAGAGAATCTACAAAAACAACTCAAAGATAATTCTCTTCCTGTCACTGTCAGAGAGCATGCTGTTTGGAGACGTGTAAAGGGAGAGCTGGCTGAACATTCCCCAGCCGGCAATGCCCCATCTCACTAAATGCCAGGACTTTTCCTAGAGCCATCCATACACTCAGTAAGTCCCTGGCTTGCTGAGGACTGGATTAGTCTTGCCACCAATGTCTATATGGGAAAAGAAAATTCTCCCTGAGTTATTGAAAAAAATTCAATTGCTAGGGTAATTCAAGAAGCTGGGTAATTGTCCACAGGGCTGCAGGCTGTGGAAGTTTATGAGGACACAGATAATAGTCATGTGTTCCAAGTAGTCCCTGCAAGCAGTGAGGCTTTGTGAGAGGGCAAGGCCTATGATTCTGGGGGCTGTCAGTCTGCTGCATGCTCCCATGTTCAAACAGTAAATCTAGAGAAAGACCTTGGTCTGCACCTATACACCCTAGGGTGCAGCATCTAGAGGTTTTCCCTCACTATCACCTCACTCCATGTAGCAGTTCAGACATCAGAATGTAAGCAGTAACCTGTGTTAGTTTGAAAGAAATTGCCCCCCAAAGGGAGGGGCACTGTCAGGATATATGGCCTTGTTGGACGAATTGTGTCACTGTGTAGATGGGCTTTGATGTCACATATATACTCATGTCATGAAGAGTGAGACATTTCCTTTCTTGTTCCCTGTAAATCAGAATGTCAAACTCTTAGTTCATTCTCCAACACCATGTCTGCCTACATTCTGCCATGATGATAATGGTCTGAACCTCTTAAGTCCCTCCATTCTGCCATGATGATAATGGTCTGAACCTGTGAAGTGTAGGCAAGCTTATTAATTGTTTTGCTTTACAAGAGTTGCTGTGGTCATGGCATCTCTTCACAGAAATAGAAAACCTAACACATGGCTCTAACACTATTTTCAAAAAAACTACATTTATTCACTGTAACTTACAAACATCTAAAGTGATAATACCCTCCCACTCATTGCCTCAAACCTCATCCCTGGCTTTATTATCCAGTGCTTCTATCCTCCTAGAACTTAGCACCAGCTGGAATAGCCCTGAGTGAGCATGAGCTCAGTGTGTTTTCTATATTGTTTTTTGGTATGGGGGTGCCGGGTAGAGGCAGAGTGAAATTCTGACTGCTTTCTACCTCTTCCAGGGGCCTAGTGACTCTAACTTCTTCTTCTGTGCCTGCAAGGGTTGAGTGATATCCAGGGCTGAGAGTGGCCCTTCAAACATCCCATGACAAAGCCCTGATTTGGACTTCTTATCCATTGGAGTCAAGCCTCCAATGAGAGCTCGCTTATTTGTCATGTCAGTTGCAGATGGATCAGGACTGAGGTACTTTATCTTTGAGATAAGGGTTTGGGGATACTAGCAGAGTCAGAGAGACCTGTATATGGGCCAGACAGTTTCCATGGCACCAGCCTATAGTGGGACCACAGGAGGAAGGACAAGCTGGGGAGCTCCTCTTTTTCCTCCATGGTTCTGCCCAGTGACTCCTGGAATTCCTCCATAGCAGAAATTCCTCTGAGGCTCATTGCAGATCTGGACCCTGGGCTTTGGGGATGGGCTCTTCTGCCATAGGAAATAGCAGTGGACCCGACATCTCCCAGTGAGGCTAAACACTGACTACTTTGGAAGTCAATAGGCCTAGGCCCCCATATTTCTTCATTGGTAGCTCCAGGACACTGATGATCTAAAGAAAGCACAGGTGAGGAAACTTTCTGTGTACTGTCCCCTCTTTGGGGACCATGGTCATCTTCCTTTGTGCCTTGGCAGACAGTAGGTACAGAAGAGTTGGAAAGTATCTGAGGGGCACCAGTGTTCAGAGGTGCCCTCTTATAGCATTTCTTCTTCAAACCCGGCCAGTGCTCCTCCAGATGCTGCAGGAGGAAATGGGCATATAAGATTCATCCTAGTCTGGAAGTTTTGCTACAGGGGGCAAAACTTTTGGGTGGAGGTAGCTAAGGGGATAGTCAACTGTCTCTGAGTGTCAGAGACCAAGGGTCTGTTTGCTGACATTCTTGGTTCCTTGCAGCTATGCACTTCACCTCCTCCCCATGTCCATACCCGTATCCCCTTGTTGTTAAAGCCCCATGCAGGATGCCTTGACTTCCAGTAGGTCACCTGGTTATTATGAGCAGTTTCCTGTCCACCTGGTGACTCTCAGAACACCCCTCTATTTGGGGTCCTCCATGCCCCCCCCAGTTTGCCTAATGTCTCCATGTATCCTGTCTGCCTGGTGTCTGCTTGCCTCTTGCCTACCAATTGCTTCTCTCATGTTATCCCTTGTGTGCACCCTTCCCTATCTACCTGCTCAACACTGAGTTCTTCCTCATACTCCAGCTCCTTCATTAGAGACAGGATGTCCATCTCTGGTTTGGAAGATAGGATTTCTGCCACAAATTTGGGGTTTATAATGTCCTCCACCTATAAACAGAAGGATTAGGAGTGAGTACCGGGGACAGTGAGTTCTATGTTGCTGCAAAGTCATAATGACAACCAACCCCCCCCCCGCGCACACACACACACACACACATGAGAGAGAGAGAGAGAGAGAGAGAGAGAGGGAGAGACATAGAGAGAGCCCTGAAGGTAGATAAGCAGGCTCAGTTACGAGGACTGGGATGCAAAACTCATAATCTGGCCAGCACCAAGGCTCCCAGCACAGCTCAGTTTCTCAAAGAAGTGTTTCTGGGAGCACAGCTCATCAATGTAGCTCAGGACTCCTGCATCTGAGTAGAAGTCATCTCCTTCCTTCTCCGGCCCACTGTTCTCCTTTTCCTCCTTTTCTGTGGGCTCTCCTGTGTATGACTGTGGAAGCCTCTCCAGCCAGTCAATAATATCCATGTACTCATGCACATCTTCAGGTGGAATTTCCATGGTTGCCTCAGTCTTTCGTAATTGTGTGTGTCTGAGTACTGGGAGGCAGGCAGGGTCTGTGTGAGGACCAGTCTTCATGGAGTTGCATGCTAGGAGATAGGAGAACATGATGATACTTAGATAGGGTTCAGTTCCACCCTAACCATGCCATGTAGACCATAGTTCAGAGGAACCACAATGACCTATGGTAAGCCAAACCTAAAGATCTGTGACAGGGGACATTGCAAAGGGTTGATATGTCTAGGATAGTCATGTGAGAGAGTATTTGGTGCCACCAATATTTCAGGTATGCTCCAAACTGATTGGCCAGGTCCTGATCATAAGGTGTTTGTGTCCTTAGAGAGTAAGGACAGAGATAATCAATGATGGTAGCCAGCTCAGTGATTACCCAGTTCAAGACTAAGGGCTGCAATGTCCCCCGGGCTACATAGAAAATGCCCTAACCTGAAGGAAGAAGCCTATGTTTAGGGTAAAAATCCATTTGACTGATTTGACCTCTGCATAGAGAACTAAATTCATGTGATCACCTTGTAGTTGCAAGAACTTGGCACTGGATACTTCTCATCATCTCCACCCTTGAATTATCCATCTCCAGCCTTGAATTCTCCATCTCTTCTGCAGTCTCAAATTCTGTAAGCGTCAGGATGACGGAGGTCAGGGCCCAGCCAAGAGATTACTGAAGATGATCACAGGTGCAGGGTCTTTGGTTTATTTGGTACAGTCCCATGAAGTTGCTGATCTTGGAACAAAACCACAGCTCTGGGGCACATTATATTCCCTTGGTATTTATGGAAATTAAATCAGGTTGAGGTGGCCCCAGAGTACTTTCATGTGACTCTTCCTTAAGGCCTTTCTTGTCCTTGCCTAGAGCCACAAAGAAACTCTTACTGGTAATATGGCCACAGATATGATTGATGGAGTATATCAGGGATCTTCAACCAGATACAGAATTGCTGAAGCTGAGGCTGGGAGAGCTGGAATGACCTGGGAGACAAGTGCCCAGGAGATGCCAGGAGAATGTAGAAGGGAAACTGAGAGGTGTTGCTGCTTCGCTATGAGAGCTTTTTGTGGACGTGTGTGCATGAAAACATCACACGGAAAAAAAGACAGAATGACCACAGACATATCCTCAGATGTGTAAGGACCTTCCTTCCCCTCTGCATGCTGCTGTTCATAACCACTCCAGGTACATAAGGATACACCTGAGGCCACATTATTGGGATGCAGTCGTCTCTACTGTCAAAAAGCAGTGACTCAGTACCAGGTAGTTGACTTAAGACTTGTGTAGCATGTTTGTATTTTACAATCCTCAGTGCTGGAGGAGACCCGACAGGAATGGAATGGGTCAGTTTTCCCACTCTGACCTTCAAAAGAAAGGCAGTGATAGATTCATGGCCAATGAGGGCAGAGCTGCTCGGACCCTTGGGCAGATAGCCCAGCACTGCAGGAGGTGAGAACAGCATCCTGAACCTCATAGATTACCACCAGGGTACCAAGTATTGGGTAATCTTCCTTCAAATGTGCAGATGACAAACTCACCAGACCAAGCTGCAAGTGAGTAGTATCCCCAATATATACCCTCCTCCAGAATCCTGATTCAACAGGCTCACCCATGATTGACAGCTCTTCACATACCCTGCTTCAAAATTCCATTGACTCACTTTTCAGCCATCTCAAAGAAGATCATCCGGTCATAGTTGCTTGTACACTGCCATTCC